TGTAGAAACTTCTGAATCAGTTCCAGCTCTTGTTCACGGGCTTGCGTTACTGTGGGCGGGTCCTTAGGGTTAGAAGCTCTAGACGAAAAAAAAACAAAACAAAAAAACCACATCATTAGTAACATTAATTAATAATTTATTAATTAACTTTTCAGAAATAAATAAAAGGAATTGGCAAATCACCATTGTCTGATGTAACAGTGAACATTTCACTTCTTGAATAGTATGCTAGTTAAAAATTGGGCAACTCTGAATCCTTTCAAACAACACGTACCTGTAGAGGGTCCAGTTTGAATCTTTTCAGGTGTAACAAAAGCTTAGAGATCAAAGAGTCTACACATTATGACTTCCAGTACCTTGAATATGTCCTGTCACATAATCTAATTGTATGTAAATTCAATAGCTAAGGGCTTTTCTAAAATAGTGCCTTTTATAGTAACTGACTTTGGGCTTCATTTGTTCATTTTTCAATCGCTAACAGAAGCATGCAATGCGTGGATCTTACCTTTCAAATCACACAACTATTAAAAATGTTTTACTTTTGTGTGATTATATTAACAGCATTCTTTCTATTGTCACGAACTGAAAGAAACATTGCATACAGGGGATTGACTACTTCTCCCTTTTAAAATAATAATTTTATAAAAACTTAAAACATACCTGAGATCAAGATGATGGGCGCCACCCTTGACCAGAACTGCGACTAGTGTTGGGGAGACATCTTGCAGAACCTTACAAGTAATGGGTATATGGTGTATTAATCTACGATAGCCTGTACAGCTGAATGTTTCATTGGTACAAAGGAAAAATTTTGATGGTGAGAAAAACACATTCAATTATTTATACTATTCTGATGATGATACAAACATACCCCTCCTGGTCTCCATGGATCCAAGTCACCATTGGAGAAAATAATATTTGACGCTGACGATATGTCTGCAAGAAAGGAGAGAAACAAATTAAAGATAGAATTTACTAAGGGCCAGGGGTAGGGGGGGGGGGGG